GGAAACCAGTCACTAACAATACCGTTTCTTTTTTTAAGACAACATGAAAAGGAAGTCCTTGAAATGCAAAAAAAATATACATTTAGAAATAAAAGACAACTTTATCCACCAATGAAGATCACACTTTTGATCAAAAGCTCCAGATCAGCTACTAAATGGACCTCGTTGTGAGATTTTTATTGGTCGGCAACGTTGATTTTCAGGACAGCGAGGAAGAGAGGTGCTACAAAAAATAGCTTTGAGCTAACTTATGGTAGAAATAAGTCTGTAAAATGCTAAAAACGAACATTTTGCATTAAAGGACAACTGATGAAGACGATGTGATGTGACAGAAAGCTCAGGATCAGCTGCTCAATGGATGTTCGTGAGAGATTTTTCGTTTTAGTATTTTATAAGAAAAGCAGAAAAAGGAATGTAAAGAATAACTGTGGGTTGTTTGGCTGCTGTCTGACTCTGTAACATATTTATGACAAACTCTAATTAATGAATTCCTATTAATATATTTAATACATATTCTGCTATAAAGAAGAGCTTTAAGGCTGAATGTGGACGTTTTGCTTCCTCACGACAAAACACAGATGTGCTGCTGCATGAGTCACCTGATGAGTAGAAATCATTTGATCGTTTTAACCACAGCTGCGTCTAAATACAACCAACACTGTAAAAAAAAAATTAAAAAATAAACTCCATTATAAGGTGAAGTTCTGTATTTAAATGTAAATACTGTAACGTTCTTTTAGACAAATAAAAATAATTAAAACAGTGTAAAAGGAAAGGCTGCACGTCTAAAAAGTAAAAGTATTTAGACTCCAAAGTAAGTAAAAATACCACCACGGTGTAAAAACATTCACTAAAATGTGAATTATTTTGACTTACGCTGTAAAATTTTTATGTATTTTACTACCTTTGAATTCTACTGCGCGTTAATGTCTTCTTTCCACTTTCCACCACTGGTTTCTGCTTTACTTGTATTTATTACTGGGACGTTTAATTATTGCAAATATCATCAACTTTATGAACTCTGTGTTTAATTTGTAGAAAAATATATAGATATCAAGTACATATTTGTAGAATGCATGAATTTAAGTTCATACTTTTAATTGTAAATTTAGTTACTGTCCTGGTGAGTTTAAATGCTAATAATCATTAATTAAGTTTATTAGTTGAGTATAAATAAGTCTAAAGGTTAAAATAAACGTAGCAGAGTAGACGTAGGAAGCAACACAACATGGAAATACTTCAAATGCATCAAAATTGGCTTGCAGCACAGTACTCGAGTAAAAGTAATTGAATTGAAAAGTACTCAGTTATATTCTGCTAATGGGAGGTTTAAAGCGTGGGGGGGGGACACTTTATTTTGTGGAATATTTATAGGTTTTGCAAAAAACAAATCTGGCGGTAAAAAGCAAAAATTTGCAGTAGAAGTACAAAGTAACAGAGTAAAGACAGTATTCGAGTAAATGTACTCAGTTACACGACACCGCTGGTTCCTGCTTTACTTGTATTGACTGTTGGTGAGTTTCTTTATTAAAAAATAGAAATATTTTTTGGACTTTTTATACAATTCATGAGTAAAAATCTCACATTAAACTGTATATTTATATACTAAACGATTTTAATTTTAATTACTTTATATGGTGCTGACAGTTTAATCTACAATAACATCATTTATTAGATGAGCAAAATAAATGCATTTGACTGCAAAATAGAGTGGAGAAAGTAGAATGAGGTGGAAATACAGTACATCAAACAGCACAATACTTGAGTAAATGTACTCCGTTACATTCCACCACTGCTTTCTGTTTTACTTCTATTTACTGTTGCCAAGTTAAATTATTAGAATAAATAACACATGATGGACTCTGTGCATGTTTTGTTGGATAAATGTTGGACTCTACACACCACAGAATGTACTCTGAAGCTTTAGTTACTCGTTACTTTGATCAACTTTTCACCAGCTTCTTGTATTTACTGTCAGGAAACTGGATTATTGTGGAGAAAACAGATTTTTTTTTTTTTTGTCTTCTCATATGATTTGCAAACAGTGCAGCAGAAGGAAAATTTAACTCTGTGTGTGCCGGCAGAACAAAGTGGTTCCGATCTGAGCCCGATCAGAGGAGCTCGAGCTGCAGATCTGCACCAAAGCAGGTGAGCAGCTCGTGATGACGGCGGCTCACCTGCACCTGACAGAAACTAAGAGGAACCCGCAGGTGTGTTTCTGATCAGAGCTGTCGCTTAGCCTCAGCAGCATCCAGGCTGCAGGGACTACATGGTGCGTTCAGGAGCCACGCTGAGCCCGTGAACAGGCCACCGAGCGGGACAAGGTGGGAAAAAGGTGACACGGCGCAGGTGACTCACGTAGTGCTTCGACGGGTTGCGCCTCTTCTCCACGTCCACGACTTTCACGTCCAGCACAGTCCGAAACTGCATCTTGACCCTGCAAAGGCTCTGCATGCAGGCGGCGGGCAGGCGGCTCCGGGAAACCCGCCTGCAGATCACCACATGAGGCGTCCGACGATCCGCCAGGAGACCGCGGCTGATCCGGCGGCGCTGACGCAACCACCAATCATCAATGTGATCGGAAACTTATCGATAGTCCACGTGAGGGAGGACGCCGAGGAGCGAGCGCGGAGAGCCGGCTGCGGGCTGCAGGGAGGCGGTCGCCTTAGAAATGCAAAAAGCGCCTCTTTGTGTCTGCAGAAGGAGGCATGGAGGAGCTGGAGGGAGCCGGCGGGTCCACGGAGCGGAGCCGAGCTGCGGCGCAGATCCTCGGCAGCAGTGGGATGGGCTTCACGCACGTCCTCAGGGCGACTTGGAAAAAAACCGCTGTGGCTTCATCCACCACCGGCGTGACACGGAGCCGCGGAGCTCGGGGATCACTGGTTCTGCTTCCTGCGGCGCTCCGGAACTTTTCCTCCCCGCCTCGAACATCTGGCCGCAGCTGTGCGCACGCTGGAGCCGCTCGGCGCCGCTGGAAGTCGCTCCGTCCCGGGCAGCAGCAGCAGCTTTCTGGCCGGAGACACGAGCCGCCGCAAGTATGGATACAGATGTTCCACCGGCGACCAATCAGCGGCGGCCTGGCCGACTTCAAAGAGCCAATTAACGACCAAACAGTGCCCCCCTGCGCACGCAGCGACGCACGCAGCCGCCGACTCACCTCCGCTTCATTTAGCGCACAAAGTAGATCCTTTAACGCAACATCCAGCCACGACTTCACGTCTCCGGGAACACAGAGAGCCTGAAAGCCGGCAGTGGTTGAACTGGAGGGTGTTAACTGGTCGGACTGGAGCCTCACTGGTGTGTGTGTGTTACCCCAATTAACTCAGACAAAACACAGGGGAAAGGGGCATTTGAGGTTAATGATGTACTTGAAGGGGCACGTGAGCAGTTTGACAGCTGAGTGAGGTCCTGACAGGTAGAAACACAGGTGTGATGTCTGGGCCTGATGACGTCATCAGAACTACACCTGAGAGCCGAAGGAAGCAACTGATAATGTAGCTACTTTAGCCACAGCAACGTTTTATGTATACCTGTAGTTATTATGTTTAATGGATATTTTCATGATAAATGTAATAAATAAACACACCATCACTCCCTCTATGTCTACATATATAATAAAGATATATTTATATATACAAGATACATATTCTAGAGTTCATATTACACTTATTGTACATTTTGCATTACATATTTTCTCATTTCTGCTATTTTTATTTCTGTGAACTCAAATTTCATTGTACTTTCTTGCACAATGACAATAAAGAGATTCTGATTCTGATTATTGGTTATTTTTGCTTATTTACCTGTATTTATGGTGGCAACTTTACTCTTGGTGCTGTAATAACCACATTACCTCTCGGGCATTAATAAAGTATTTCTATCCTATTCTAGAGAACTGATGTTTGACTCAAGTAAACTGTTGCTGCATCATAGGTAATAATACAATAAATATAAATATATGCTATCTCTCGTTCTGTCTCTCTTAATATACAGAAACATACATCTGTTTAAATAAAACACATGTGAGACATTAATTATATATCTATGCTGGAGCTCAAAAACAAGCTCGTATCGCTTGTTCTATTCTTTATTATCATCAGCTTAATATCCACTAATGATGAATTTATCTTTATATTTGTGTATATAAGTGAAGAACATGGAAAAAACATCTGACATCCTCTCAACTAAACCACATGATCTGGACTTTATCAGGCTGTCTATGAAGTTCACGCTACCGCTTTATTCTTAACTATTTACCTCCAAATAGAAACTTTTTTTTGTATGTTTTCTTGCTTTTATAAATGTCATCTTTAGCTAAATTATCACCATAAACAGTAACAAAGAGCAGCTCATGGTTCACCACTGCAGAGACACGTGCAGCACATCAGCTATAAACATCCAGGGGAAACTTTTCACACATCCGGGGGGAAAATCCAGACTTTTACTGCTGGAACACCCCTTTAATCCTGACAGATGGCGTCTGTGCTGCTGACTGAGGTTTGCACAGATACTTAATAGATTACCCCACATCAAACTGGTGTATGTTACACATGTACAGTATGAGATAAACGTGCAGCATATATACATAAAATGTGCAAGATGCTGCGTCATTACTTGAGTATGTCTCATTCAAACATGAAGATATGACGAGAGTGCAGGTTAGTGATGAAGTGTGCTGCTTATTTAATAATGTAGCGATAATAATACGAACTCTGAGCATCATTAGCAGGTTTTCTTTCATGTTTATCTCATAAATGTGCAGTTTTTCTGTCAGGAAGTAACTGATGGTCGGTGTGTTGAGGTGGACGTTCTGGAAATGTTCTGTATTTGCTGCTTTTTGGCACCTTGTTTCTGTTGGAGAACTTTAAGAAAATGTGCACACACTGCAGACGGACTTGGAGAAATGAGGCTTAATGGGGACCCAGGAGACTCAGTATTCCTGCCCCAGGGCCCCTGGCAGGCGAATCCAGCCATGCACGGGCTGCGTCTCCGCTCTGTTTGTTGTTATTTATTTTAAAATTTAGCATATATTTACAACAGTGGACTGTACAGTGGCCCTGAAAGCTCCTCTCTAAACAATCATATTTAACCTCAGCACATTTACATACAGGAGGAATTTAAGACAGTGGAGCCAGTCCAGAGCTAAGAGGTGCAGAGGACAGGATTTAAGTAAACATACTGAGAGCTGTGGAGCAGCCACAGCACAGAGCGACGCCGTGGTCGTGTCAGAAAGCAGTGTAATGGTTCTCTGCGGTGCTGATGATTTCGCTGTCGCACTCCAGCGACTTGAGGACGAGCTCCAGAGCTGCTCTGCTCACGTTGAGGCTGTAACGCTGCCGGACACCAGACAGGATGTGCAGGACGTGGCAGCCCTTCTCTGCAACTGTAGGAGGAACACGGGTTATAAATTCTACCATCAACACTCTACAAACATCGTAAGAGAATATTCTGCTTTCCAGACTGCGTAAGAAAAGTGAAAATGAAGCACACAGCATCCAGCAGGTGTGGTTGTTGTGCTAATTCAAGCTGCTGAAGAGCTTGACTTTTGATTATTTTAAATTAATTAAAATGCAAGAAGTCAACATTAAAGCTGAGGCAGGCTGGAAAATGCAATAAAGAAGTCCTCAACTCTGAAAATATCTCCTTTCTGTCCCAACAGATCCAAGCATGATCTGAAACTACGGCTTCAACTATCAACTGTTTGTTTTCGATTAATTAACCGACTGTGTCCCCAGTTAGTTGCAGAGTCTAAGCAAATAAATTCTTTAAAAAAACCCAGCAAAATACCATTTAATGTTGGTCTTTTTATTCTACCAAGCTGTACGTCGTTGTATAATGAAGCACGGTATGAAATGCAAACTAAAGTTTACATGTATACGTGCAAAACCGTCGAGTTAAACTTGATAAAATGAGGTGCAGGAGTCTAGTTTCCTCTCAGACCACTTCAAAAACGACGCAAAAGGTTATTATCACAGACGGTTTGCTCTCTGACGTAGAAAAAGACTTCCTCAGTTTTTAACTACATTTATTTATGCTTCATTAGGAGGAAAAGATTACGTCTACGTACATTTCTCTCTTTTCGAGTCCTCCCTGATGATGTCTTTGACGGCCAACAGCAGATCTTTGTCCTGTGCAGTCACCTGGTGAGGAACACAAGCCACATTCAGTCACGATCAATAATCGATTAATAGTTGAAATAAATAGGTAACGGTGGGCGATTGCTCGATATGTCGACACTTGATGTTCGCCACGAAACACACTCAGCTCCCGGCCTGCCGTAGTGCTAAAAACTGGCAAACACACCTGTAACTCCATTTCAGAAAACAGTAATAGGCTCCACCTGGTGGTTCTATGAAGCACTACAGCGACGCCACTAGAAGGATTTTTAATTGCATGTCTCTCGTCTTATCTTATTGGCTCACTCTCTGAACTCCAGGCAGTTTCCGGGTGTTTTTTGTCGTATTTTTACTCACTGTGGGCTCATTTTTAACTGTAGTAAAAAGTCCTGCAGCTCTACGGAAACAGAACCAGACAGAAGAAGGAGACAGAACTCAGAGTAGAACACAGTTATATTATCATGAATACAAGAAAAAGCAAAAGTGGAATTTCTTTGGTTATTAATTTCACAAAAATTGATAAAACCTCTACGTGCCTACGGATGATACCGGCACTGTGGGAAAAATGGTGTCTCTACATCCTATTCTCATTTTTAAACAGCTCGATCCGTCTCTCGGTGTAAACACTGCCTGCAGTTCAGCTGGAAAGTCTCAGGATTTTGGCCACATGACTGTTGGGTGCAGCTGAGTCACTAATCGCTTCCTACAATTTTTATTTGATTGTTTTATTTTTTGTTACAGAATCTGGTGCAAATGGTTTGTTTTGGCAAATTCTTAAATAAGACATGTAGAATACACTGATTTGCATGATCGATCACAGTTTTAAGCTTAAGTTTGGTTAATTTTCCTAACAAAACATTCTCCGTTTTTAATGTTTCTGGCTCTGATGAATGTTGTAAATTTGGCATTTCAAAAACAAAAAACTTGTAAATCCACTGGTGGGTTTCAGAGGGTTGATATATCCTCAACTCGATTAATCTATTAATGACAAGTAATTGAATAAACATATTTCTCTGCTGTTCCTTACGAGGTAGACGTCATCCTGGGACTTGACTTTGCGGTAAACGACGCCTTCGTCCTGGAGAACTTGCAGAGTTTCCTTCACAAGCTGCCGGAGCTGCTGACATCCAGACGGACCCGCAACAGGCTCCTGAGCGGCAACACAGGGAACACAAGACGACAACACTCAGGTGAAGCTTTGCATTTTAAATCTAAACACACTTCGCTTACCGGCATCTTTAATGGCGAACAGAATTTTAAAACAGCTGCAACGGCGTTAAAAAGTAAAAGTCGCTTTGTTGCAAGAAATGAAATCCTGGTTTTATGCTATTTACTTCATTTATTATTCTCACCTCAGCTTCAAATAAAGTCTGACGTTTGATTCTCGTTTCATCCCCTCACCGCAGATCTTCAAACAGAAAGCGTTCCCACATTCGGATTCGGCCGTACCTGGTCTGCTGATGCCGTTTGAGGCTGGCTGGAGATCAGAGGCTGCAGGAGGTCCTGGACATCATACGTTCTGAACCTGGTCACCGACTGCTGCTTCAAGAAATCCTTGATGATGTTTGTCGCCTTGCTGAGGGAACTGAGGGCCGAGTCACTGAAAGACACAGGAAAAAAACGAGGCCTCAGGTACAATTCATAGGAAAACATTTCAGTGTTCAACGGCTGATCAAAACACCAAAGCGGGTCGACTGAACTCGTTTTTGCAGCGTTTTAGGAGGAAGATGCTACAGTCACAGCAGGAAACTCTTTTCAGTCCAAGAGTCTGACAGCAGATGGAAAATATGTTTATATAAACCTGGAAATAATAACAGAGTTCAGACACTGAAGAAGAAACATTTCAGATCTTGCTCTGTCTCTAGATGAGTCAAACTGACCGGATTAGTGGCAGCGGTTTTGTTAACTCAGACGACTCTCTGGATTTGATTGACTCATCAGAGGTTTGTTTAACTGAATCAACCTGCAGATGTTGTTCACCGGTTAGAAACACGACTGGAACTCCAGCTTCCAGCAGAACACGGCTCAATGAGCAGCGATGTCATTGAGGGGAAACATGGCGTCAGATTGTTATTCTGAGCAACGAGCTGCTTCCTCACATCATGACTGGACTGAAGGCTTCTATGAGGGTAAAGCACTAAAACACTTTGTGAAAACTGGATCAGTTGTAGTTAAAACACCGAAAGTGAAAACAACTTTAGAACGTCAAGCTTCATTAACTAAGCAGCTTCATCACAGACGCTGAATTCATTGAATAAAGAACAAAAAACTGCAAAGTTCTGTCAGAAGAAGACTGACTGGACTCTGGTTTCACGTTACTTTGTGTCCTTGACAATGAACTCTGCCAGCATTTCTTGTGCTGTCACCATCCTTTGATTTGTGTATACGCGACTCATTTTGTCCGACAGAAAGGAAACTTTTCAGAACTTTGCTTTAGTTCTATCGTGTATTTTTATGCGCATAATGAAGTATCGCAATAGGAAAAGGTTGGCAAAAAAAAAGGCAAAATTTTAAAAAAACAAAAACTTTCCAGTCATTTGAGGTTGTTTTTGACATTTTCGTAAAAGAGTTAACGCCCTTCATAGATCGCAGATGGAATGAAGTTCTGATGTAAGAAACATTTAATTCATACGACTGATCAGCTGTTTCTTTCATTGTCTTCGTCTCTAGACGGCGTAAAACATGTCCGATACCAGCTGACATGACAGAGTAATTACAACCGACTAAATAAAAGAAAATTCTGAAGACTTCATTCTGTTTTTTTCTTATATATAGATTAACATTTCTGTATTTCTTCTTTTTTCAACTGATTTTGCTTCTTCTTCTGCTGTTTACTGCAGCCATGTGTAACGTCGCCGACATGAATTCATTCACTCTGAACCAGGACGATGGAAACAAGCCTGAACCAAACTTTTTTTGGTTCAAATTCACTTGACAGTTACACAGAAACATGGCATCTAAATATGATTTCAGAGGCAGGTTTAACTTTCATTAGCTCCGGTGCTGTGACCTGTGTGAGGAGATGGATGTTCGTACCCCGACATGTCGGCCCGCAGCTGCAGCGGTTTGTCGTAACACTGTCTGTAGAGCTGAGGAACCTCCATCATCCAGGCTATCTGCTCCGCCATCACCGGGTCGTCCACTTTATCTGGGAACACACACGGACACGCCGATGATGAATGACCCGGCAGAGGACAGAGAAACGAGCCGTCTCATAAAAAAGCATGTGCTGACAAAGAGAAAGTGTCCTTGTGAGCCACTCGGAGACTCTGTGAGCGAGTGCGGCTTCTTGTTTGAGCATTTGTGGTTTGTCTTGTTAACAACCACCACCGAACCGTGTCGCAGGTTTGTCGGCTTTTTCCAATATTTATAAAACCGTAGGTGGTCGGTGCGGATGTGAATGTGCTGGATTTCAAAGTCAGACTGCCTCTGTGGTCTGCAGAGGTCGGCCGTCTCCACTCACAGAAGGTGGAAGCCATGATTTCTCTCTGCTGCTGCCTCGACGTCTTCACCGGCCCTCGGACTCGGAGCAGCTCTCCGATCTCCAGACGGCAGCGCTTCTGCTGGGCTTCCTTCAGCTTCTTCAGCTCAGCGACGAGGTTGAAGGCTCCCTGAGCCCCGTCGCTGGGCTTTCCCTCTGCTGGCAATATCACAACAACAACCAGGGATGTTAGATGATTGCATAACAATACATGCAAATGAGTTTCAGATGCAACTTCATGCAAGAAGAAAGACTTTAAAGCAACACTAATCACTCTTTTATATACACAATGGATCAGATGAAAAATCTGAGAATTATCCTCTAACTTTGCAATTCTCTTTAACTCTGCAGAGATTTTGATGCTGTTTTAGCTCATATCTTTAGTTTGCTGTGAGTGGAAACGCTTTTAAAAGAACCCATCTACACTACCTGCTCAGTACAAAATGCCAAAGCTGGCAACTGGAGGTGCATCAATTAATCAGTCGTACAATTAGTTGTCAAATATCAAATTAATCATCAACTATTCTGATAACTGATTTAACAATGAGTATTTGTTTAAAGATTTTAAATTGTTTAATGTGAATATTTTTAGGTTTCTTTTATCAATGACATATCAATGTAATATCTTTGGGATTGTGGACAAAATAACACATTTTAAGAACGTGATCATGGGCTCTGGGAGGCACTGATTGACACTTTTCACTTTTTTCTGGCCTTTTACAGATTAAACAATTGAATGATGACATTAAAAATCAAATTAACAGATTAACAGATAGTTTGCCGTTATTCTGGCAATAGCATGGTGAACATAACAAGCAAGATACCCAGATATTTTCTCAGGACTTGGTCAAGATCTAGTCTGAACAACTAGTTATAGACCAAAAAAATAAATAAATAAAATAAAACTAAATAAAATGATGCATGCAAAGGATGTGTAGTGTAGTGTAAAAATACACAAACATCTACATCAAATATTTATGGTAATGAAACAGAGCAAGTTTAAGTTAATGTCTTGAATTCATTTCTACATTTCAACTGAAGATTGTTTGGGTTTTAGACAAAATGAGATATTTGGGGAAGTTGTCTTTGGCTTTCAGAAACCCTGATTTCACCATTTTTCACCATTTTTCACCATTTTCTGACATGTCACTGACCAAACAACCAACTGAATAATGCAGGAAATGACCAAAAGATCAATCTGCAATACAAGTAATCATTTGTTGCAGCTCTGTTATAGCTGAAGAACATATTGCACTAATTTAACAAACATAATGCAAGACTTAAGATTGCATGAAGAGTTTAACAAACAGCCTGCAAACACTGACACTAGTAAACTCACATTTACTGGGACCCTCATTCTCTTTCAGGAGGTCACTTTTCCAGCACAAACAGTTTATCACACCAGTTCCATCATCCACTGTGGAGGCAAGAAATTCACTCAAAATCAAGAAGATTTGGAAGTCAAGTTAATTTGAGATCCTTGTACAGGAGATGAGTGATACAAACAAAAACTGATAATAGAGCGTGTGACCGTAATATAACTATAATGTTTTACTACAGTAACGGGGGAAGTGAAAAATGATAATAGTGAAGATTAGTATATTAAAAATGTGAGCAGAAAACAATTAATATAGTGAAACAGCAGCAGTACCTCCATAACAGAAGAAGTCATCTCTTTCTTTCTTGTAAACCACCGTTCCAAGTACATCGACTTTGTAGATCGGATGCTTGTTGTAGAAGTAAATACCTTTGAGAAATGTGTACATAATTAGCTATCAATGCTACTGACGCACAATAGATGAGGCGTTTGTAATTACATTATCAATAAAAAACATGGAAGAACTTATGACTCACAGTGTGTTAAGCTGTTATTTTCTGTCTTGATCATTTAAATATCAAGTTGAGTGAGTGTTTAATATGCCCATTACATATCTTTAACCCTCACCCTACCGACAGGACTCCAGAGCTTCACTTCTTGTCATATCTCAGGTGTTTATTTCTATTGTGGAGATATTGCCATCAAAAATAAGTGAGTTCTTCAGATGCTGTGAGTGCATGAAGACTCTTGCAGCAAACAAACTAACATCTGCTCCTGGCTCTGCAGCTGTAGAAAGTCCATAAACCCGGTAGACTGTGAAGCAACTGAATGATGCGTCTTCATCTTGTCGCAGGTTTTATTTTAGTCCTCTACATTTCAATCATTGGAAACTAAATTTAACCAAATGGGACCATTAGCATAGCTAGGGCTAAAAGTGTGTTAGCCAAGTTAGCTCTGACAACAAAGTTAAACTGTAGCTTGTACATTAATTGTAAGCAAATCGTATTAGACACTTCAGTTAGCATTTAGACGAATATTACCACATGTAACGTCACTCGTGAAATTGTACAACTCAAGACCGAAAATAAAAAACCCATGTGACACAACTTTTCGAGGTGTTGCTACCTGGCACCTGCACGGACTCCGTCATCTGCAGGATGTCTCGGACGTACAGCCGAGCGAAGGCGGAGAAGATCGGGTCCAGACCCCACAGGATGGACGGGGGCTCCTCCGCTGCATCCATCGGTGCTGCCTGCATCTCATCATGAAAGCAAACTCTTAATTATTCAGCTTCTTTCCGCGTCTTACTTCCTCTGGATGCTCAGCCACTAGCAAGAAAGTAAACAACTTCTTCTTCTTCGTCGGTTTTTTCTTCTTCTGTTAATGAATTGGCAGCAGGCTGAACAAACAGCAAGCTATCTGATTCGCTTATTTAACAAATTTATTTTTCATTCTGATTTAAAATCTATTGAAAAGGCTTCACTAGCAAAATAGAATGGATATTTTTCAGATTAAAAATTCTAAAATATATTAACATTTTTCCCGTCCGTCCAGCGCGTCCTTGTTTCGCAAAGGCTTGTGGGACATGTAGTCTCAATGGACACAAAGCGCGCCGACTTTTGTGTTTATTGGAGCGACGGCGGCCGATTTGAACACTAAAACCTTAATTTAAAAAACAATACCCCGCACACTCGTGGTTTTTCTCGATGTGACTATTCCGTGGCGGGTAGTTTAACCGTCTCCCGTTGCGTTCGGTCTCCCGTACAGACGAGGGCAGCAGAACACCGGATTTGCCCCGCCAACCGTCGAGCACGAGGGGCACGGAGAGAAAAGAACTCGCGAACTCGCGCAGCCGTGAACGCGCGGCGACACTAAATCCGCTAGATTACTAAACCCGTCCCACAGCGAGGAAAGATGACCGTTTTCACCGATTTGCCGAATTTAAATACACGGCAGGCGTTACTACCCTAAAGGAAACTAGTGAATTAATCTGTCAGAAGTGGTTAATTTATTCGGGAGGACGCCTTTCTCGTGTTTTTTTTGTCTTTTTTTGTGTGTGGAAGAAAGAGCCCCGCGGTGCCGTCGGGCCAGCGGGTCGCCCGGAGTTGGAACAACGACGAGCCTCCAGTAACACTTTAAATTAAAAATAAACTCTTATTTAGGTGGATTTTAAACGCTAGCAGGGGTCTAAGTTAACCTTTAGCTGTTGTTTTAGGGGTCAACAATGACCCACGGTGTGCGAAAGAGCTCCCCGGTGGACTGGTCAAAACAGTGTCAAAGGCTAAGCTAGGTTTTGGATCCTGACTGTTATTGTTTGTTGAGATTTTATTATTATTATTATTTATTTAAATCTAACGGGGCACACATGCACCTCCACAGACTTGTGCTGAACCGGCAGTAAAGTTGATCTCCCTTTTTTTTTGGTGAAACTTTTCGAATGATCCAGGATGTCGTTTTTTAATTTTCGCAAAATATTTAAACTGGGAGCCGAGAAGAAGAAGAAGCAGTACGAGCACGTCCGCAGGGATGAAAATCCGGAGGAGGTCTGGGACATAATCGGCGAGCTGGGAGATGGAGCCTTTGGAAAAGTGTTCAAGGTAGGTGCTTGTCCCCTGAACAGCTGCTCCTCCATCTATTTTCGACACTAGAATAATCAAAATATGACCAAAAAGGAGTTCTATTTTTTTGTCCTCCCAGCTCCCATCAGCCAGTGTTTCTGCAGCCTGACTCATTGTGAAACCAGTGTCACCTCAGTCTTGCGTTGCTTTGACCCACCCACCTCCTCCAGAACCAGTCCTGTGTGACAGAGGTGCTGTCAGACAGGACTGCTGGGCTCCTTCTCCTCTACAGTGTTGTTTACATGTGACTGGATTTCTGGACTTTTTCTCCTTCAGATCGTGTGCATGCAGAGAGCAAAGCTGAGCAAATAATCAAAATATAATCAAAACTGCAATAAGGCCAAGTGCATGGGCTATAATTTTCTGATTGAGTCACAAAATGCTTTCCTACATGAGGCATTGTGGTGCTACAGAGATGCTGCAGTCTGCAAATCATCTTCTCCAGACAGAAGGAAACATGCTCCTTTACAGGCTGCAGCAAAAATCATGATATTTTTATCAGTGTTGCTTCAGTAAAATGCACCAGGACATCTCTGTTAGGTGCTTGTGGATACCCAGGAGGCTCCTTCACCTCTAAAACTAAGTCAGAGCTTCTTGAATACAAGATGAAACGAGAGAGAAGTGGTTCTTACCGAAGTTCCAAGATGATATTTTTCTTGGTGGAGAAGATTTGACAAAAGGACCATTCCCACTGTCGCTGTCCCGCAGTAGCTGTAATTAGTTTGATTGTTTTTGCAAATCGTTCAGCCCTAAGCAGGAGTACACATTTACAATAGCACTGGATTAGGGCTGAACAATTAATCATATCCAAGCGAAATAGCAATTTGAAACAATGCTAGTGGCAAATCACGACATGCAAATAAAACATGTTGAATTGAGCTGTTTAAAAACAATAAATCCAAGCAGAAGTTTTCAGGCGTATTTTATGCTGCCCACTGATAATGCTTATTGCTCTCCATGTGACATACGCCCAGTGTAATTGTTTAATAACTGCACTTGATAGGTTTTGCAGCATCTGACCCACAGTTTACTTTGTCGTGTCGGTGAATTCACAGTTTCACGTTGTCCTCCTGGTGTTGCAGTCAGGATTTTGATGGTGTCTCATGTGATGAAGCTCCATGACACGTTTTAAACAGTAAATATTGAACTGACTCTCAACCTAAAACAGATAATGTCACCAATCAAATCAGCATATCTGTCAGAAAAATCAGAACTGAATGTTTACACAGTGGATGATGTTTACTTCCTGACTGCTGGTTTTAGATGATGCAGCATTACAGTTTCAGAAAGCTGACCCAGTGGCAAAGCAAACCCCTTGTTATCATTTTAATGGTGCCATTGTTTGCTTTGACCTCAATGCATAGCCGGAGCCAGAAGCTTCATTTGCATGACTGACAGTAAATGTTATCACACAGGAGGGCTGTGGGGTTTTTTTTTTGAAGCCCTGTTTTTGTTCTTTGTTGCCAACTGCTATTTTTGGACCCTCTTAAATAGTTACCCAAGATTTCATGCCAGTGTATCATACTTAAAGTAAGCCTAATCTTCTTGCACATTCAGTCACAGGGTGCCCAGAGTTTCACCAGCAAAGCTCATGTGGACTGCAGTGACTGACTGCTCAGGAAGGGGAAAAAGCACCAAAACAGACCTTTCAGCAGTTATTCTGTCACAGGTTTTTCCGCATTGAGGATTTTCTTTATGCCCTGCAAAAGGGTTTTACCCAGTGTTAGAGGAAAATCAGCAGCACCGAAATGATCAGAAATGGGAATTTAAAAAAAAAACAAAAAGCATTTTAATACCAGTTTTGTTAAGTCGGGTTTCATTTACTCGAGCAGAACGTGGACTTTATTCATCAAATGCTCATAAGTAACAGGAAAATGCTTACATTTCTGTCAGACAAGATAACAGATTTATTGCCTTCACTGTAAATGCTTCCTGTCATAAAATGTACAGTCACTGCCCAAAGGTTCACTTGCCATTATTGTTGATTAATCTGCTGATCATTTTCTTATCTAGCTAATTAATTATGTTGTCTGTAAAATATCAGCATTTATTTAAAAACGCCTGTTCAAACTTCACACATTTCTCAGATCATGTGCGCCTAAATTTCACTCTCATACAGCAGCAGATGCATTTAAATTCTCACAGATTTCTAGAATGAGGGAATTTGTTTGGCATTTTTAGTTGCAAAAATTATGAGATTGATCAGAATCAGAATCATTCAGAGTCACAATCAACTCACAAACTTAACTCTCTGTATAAGAAATAAAATAAATGAACTACAACAATAAAATAAGAGTCAGAACAACAAAATATCAGTTATCAAAATAGTTTCGTTTTCTGAGGATCAACAGATTGACGAGTTGCCGCAGATCAAATTGTGCCGCTGGCAGCAGCGCTCCAGAGTCAAGCTGAAGGAGATCCACAAATAGTAAATTGCAGTGTTGTGTTTGTATGTCTGGGCTTCCAGCCATCCCGGTTGTAACGCACCGCCGCTCCGATGGGACGCCACCACACTCGATCGATCGTAACACAAACTGTATCTAAAGCAGAATACGTACTGGGGGGGTTTTAAGTTTTTTTCCAAGGCCGACTGCGGAAGACACGCGGGTCACCAGGAAGTGGCTGCATCCCATATCGCCACGGCGGCTTCATCGAGCACATCCTGTCTGCGGGGAAGCCAAAACAAACAGGAGGAATTTCCACTGTTACGAGTCATGTCTCGTGTTCTGCTGACATAGTCGCTCCTACAGCAACGCACAGTGTTTATTTGTGGCTTTTACATCCACTTGACGCTGAACGAGGTTCGTCCTTCAGGTCTGAGGTCAAGAACACTTCAAGTCTGGCATCAAACAACTTCTGAGTCTGAAACCCTCTGAATCCCAAACAGTTTATGGGTGCTTTTGTCACTTTTTCCTCAGTGTGAGCTTATTTCTCTCTACAATGTAAAGTTCTACACCTTTGTGGGAACAGCACGTCATTAGGAAGGAGAGAGAACGCAGTGTGCTAGACTTATAATGCCATAAATCATTAAAACGGAAGAAATGCATTTGTTTGGTTGTTTACTCTCCAAAAAATGAAAAAAATCAAAACAACTTGTTCAATATTTTTCAGATGTTGGCAACATTGGAAAAAGTAGTGGCTCTGAATCCTAAAGATATTTTATTATTTAAATTTTTCATTTGTTTCTGTACTTTTCTCCTCTTTGCTTTGTGTAAACACAGCAGCTGAAAAGTCTATTAGCTTCCCAGTTGTACCAAGGAGGGCATCAAACTCTAACTATTTATTGGGAATTTTAAAATTAGAAATGTAAAATACAGTGATTTTTATGAATATCTTTATTTTTTATAGCTTAGATTTGGTTGTTTTTTCTAGAAAACTGAAAGTCACACATACTTACTTCATGGAGCATCTAAAAGTTGAAAATCCTACCATTTTTCCTGTTCTGGTTCTGATAAATGCTGCAATTTTGGCAATTTTCAATAAAATTACACAGGTGGCTCAGTGGTTAGCACTGTTGCCTCGCAGCTGGAAGGTCGCCGGTTCGCGTCCCGGTGAGGACACCCGGGATCTTTCTGCGTGGAGTCTCCATGTTCTCTCCGTGCAGCGTGGGTTCTCTCCGGGTTCTCCGGCTTCCTCCCACAGTTCAAAAACATGTTGAGGTTAATTGGTGATTCTAAATTGTCCGTAGGTGTGAATGTGAGTGTGCTTGGTTGTCTGTCTCTAAGTGTAGC